GAGAGAGAGAGAGAGAGAGACTGGCTCTATTAACAACCAGAAGCTCTTGGGAAGCCAGAGCGTTTAGTGAGTGCTTCCTTTAAACACATTGTCAACTTTTGCAGAATTAAATAAAAAAATAAAAAATAAAAACACCATTTAATTTACCACCCCCACCCCCCAATAAAAGATAAATAAATTAAATAAAAACAGCCTTTCAACTCTTAAAAAAAGCAACAAAAAACAACCCCTCACTCGATCTTCATCCCCTTGACTCTTTCTGAGTTCACCGGAATATAATTCTAAGCGGGCGGTATAGATTGCGAGACGATACAGTTTGCCCCCCTTTAGACCCGACTGACGTCATAAAAATCACATCTGAAATGTATTATTCGCCGCGGAGATTCGGCGTGAAACTAGCTAGCTATCGGCATCTGCTGCATACCTTCGACTTTTGGTCGTTGCAGACATGGCAAACGAGAAGAGAAAGAGAAAAAAACCCAACCCAACACACACACACCAGAAAAAACCCCCAAAACCACGGTGTGTATTCACAGAGCATGACGTAAGAAGATATCGATAAGAGAGAGAGAGAGAGAGAGAGAGAGAGAGACAGAGTGTATAGCAGAGTCAGATGCACTGATCAACCTAACGAAAAGCCTCATACATATTGATTGGGCCTTTCAATCGCAACTCAGCCCAAACAATTTGTACATGCAATGCATTACACATGATAATTAGATCAAGCAAAATCGAAAGTCTTTATGGTTGCAGAACAGCAACTTTCGAAACAGTAGCTTCGCTTGGTGGAATATATACCACCACTTTTGCCCCAAAAGGCACTCTCTCCTCTCTCAACTTCTCAAAAAAAAAGTATTTTCTAAAATAAAAAAAACTACCAGAAAGTAGGGGGATGGTGCACAAGAAGACAAGACGAATCGACTCACACTCGTAGTTGTCGTAAGTGTTGTCGGGGCGGTTGTATCTGTCGTTGTCGAAGGAGGTCGGTGTGCCTGTCACGGACACAGACAGGATGAGCGCCTCTGTCTTCATGGCTTTGAGCACTACCTCGTTTATTCGTGAGTAAACCTCGTCCATAGAGTGAGACTGAATAGGTGGCAGCGCGCACACAGAAGGCATTATAGGTCCAAACGTCCAGGTGTGTGTGAGAGAACACGAAGGCTGTGAGCGCTTACAAGCACAGTCCTCTTAAAGGGGTGTCACCGTCCACTGTGGCAAAACATTTCCCGGGATAAACACAACACTCCACCAATAATAAAGATGTCAAGGTTTCTCTTCTGTGCAAGTGAAAGACAATACGATGTTTTGTTCCGTTCGTTTACGATTTCGACTTTAAAGGAATGTTTTGAACATTGTTTCACCGCCCGTAGTATGTAGAACTGTCACGAAGTTTTCCAACAAAATTCAAATAGCAAACACAATTTTTTTTACAAAACCACACAATATTTGAGCAATTAAAAAGATAATGATAGTACTTTTCAAAATCCACAACACAGACCTTCCCTGCACTGAATCAACAGCATTTATCTCAAGCTCCAAGTGAGAACAACTGAGGCGATACTATTAGGCTATATTATTATTTCGTCCGTCTTCTCTTTGTATCTCTAGTTCAGAACCATGCGTTTATGCACCAGGCAAACAGTTCGAAGCAGCGCGGGTAAAAATCGTTGGCTCTTCTGTCGAGGCTCGGCTCCGCCGTGGGTTTAACTCTCTTTTCCTGTTCACGCAGCAAGCCCCCGTGTTTTATAGGTCGGCACGGCGCGGGGAAGATCTGAGGCCACAGGACGCCCGCTCATTGGCGCTGATCAAAGCATACGTCACACTGCGTCCATGTTCTTCCTCCTCCACCACCAGCCTACCACACTCCACACTTCTTCTCTTTTCTCCCTCCCCAACCAGCGGGCAGACAGGAGACAAACAAACAGACGCACGCACGTACGTACGTACGCACTTACACGCGAGAGCGAGGAAATGGAAAGAAAAAAAAGGTGTGCGTTTTTTTCTTTTTTTTTTTTAGAAAATCGAAATGCGCAGATAAATTACGCTATTTATTATTAGTAGTAGTAGTAAATACATCAATCAATCAATCAATCAACAAAAAT